CTACATAGTCGCAGTATAGTCTTTCTAGTAGTAGAACATTATTTCATAATGTCCACATGTAGTTTATCCTCTAGAAGTCTTGGAAGTATTATCACAGGATAAAAGTCCGAGTTTCCATATTAAAAATCCATTACATGTTTCTAAACCCTTGGTAGTAATGCAATCTTGTCCCTGCATTGGGTGGTTTACTCTAGAGCTTCTTTATACTCTATTTCATGGTGGGTGAATCCTAGATAAGCTCCAAGTATAATGTCACGGCACATACTGCTGCCAGCTCCAAGGCCTTAGTCCTATGTTCAGACTCGACGCATATGCACTTTTAGTCTACTGAACCGGGTATGTTCAAAGACTCTTATATCATTGCAACTGTATATAGTGTATGTACAGAGAAGACCATTTTAATGGTAAAATCGCGAAAATTGGATTTTATACAGTTGAATATGTTTCACCCGTATCATCTCCCCCTCACTTTAATACTGACTGTCCCCGGTCATTGCAAGATCCCTCTGAGGACGTATTATCTCTTGGACTTTGTCTTATGGCTCACACGGTTTTCTATTCTAGCGACAGATCGCCAAGTCTCGTCAGGGTTAACTGACATGTCTTTGACATTTTCTGAACCTGTCAATGTCCGCCACACCGACGCTTCTCCGTTTCTATGTTGTCTCTCATGCTTGTCAAAACAAGGAACACCGAAAAGCTATTTTTAGCCCAAACACCCAATAAACTTTTCAGAAGTTGCGGGATCCTCAGGCAACCACAACAAATCGACACGGTATTTTCCAGAAGGACACGGTGTCAATATATATCTTTTATATATATATATATATATAAGACCGTCTTTCCTGTCTATTCCAGTCTGCCTTCAATCCCTAAGTCCCTTCCTTCGTCACTTTGCTATGTCCATCTCTAAGTTCAATTTCATCGGCTCCAATCACACACTGGCTGCCTTCAACATGGCGCGCGCTTTATTCTCCGAGCCAGGTTATGCCAAGCTTGAGTCCGACGTCATCGTCAAGCTTCTTAATGCGGCTCAACCTCATCTCATAAGTTTTTCTCTTTTTCTTGTCTTTTTATAAAGCTAAAACATTTATTTTCTAGCTTGAGTACATCTGTGTCACCATTGACGGTGTGCTGGAAACTGAGTGCGATGTCCGACTTCGCAAGACTCTGTTCAATGCTCAGCTCAGGGTTGACGCGGACTCCGTTGACCCTGACTGGGAAGTTTGGATGCTCGAAGGGCCACGTAATGGTGGTGAATACCCTGAAGTACATATTTTTCCAGTGTTTTTATCATTTCTCATTCTAATTCATATTTTCTAGGATGAATGTTTTACTGAGGTGTTCCTCGTGACCCTCTCTGTCCCAGACGACCCTCCTGCTGAGGTGGTGATGGCTGAGGCTGCCCCTACTGAGGTCATTGAAGAAGACGGTCTTCCGTCTATCGAGGATCCCATGGAGATTGCCACTGCTGCCCCTCTTGTGGAAGCCGCTGTTGAAGAAGTCATGCCTGAGTTCATGGTCATCAAAGAAGACCATTTACCTCCTCCTGTAAGTCATTTTTCAGTTTTTCTCCAACTTTTTATTTTTCTAATAGCCATCTTGTTTTCTTTTTCAGAAACACCACAAGTCCCTCAATCGGGCTTATACCCCGATATCCCCTGCCAACTCGACTAGGTCTGCGGCACCGTTTCCAGTCTTGTTTTCACCGCCGGCACCTGTTACACTAGTTCCAGCTGCTCGGATTCTCGCGCCACCACGCCTCAACATTCCTGAGGTCGTCATGCACACACGCCGTCCCAAAAGTGAACATCAGGCCAACACGGAGGCCATCGCGTGTACCAGTTGTGTTCTCACATCAACGAGTGCACCTTGAAAAACCAACAAGCGCAAACAGGTGGATGACGCCAAGGCTGAGGAGGAGGGTAAATCAGAGCATGATGTTGCTTCATCGCCCCCACCTGTGGTAAAACCAAAGCGAGGTCATCCTCGTAAGACTGGTAAGTCTTTCTTCTGTTATCTTTTCCTTTCTTCTTTCTTACTTGTCATTTTCCTAGAATCTCGGGGTTTTGCTCCTGCAATCGCATATGACAAGAAGAGACTCTGTAAGTTCCAAGTTTCTTAATTTTCTATTGAACTTATATTTTGTATAGTCCCTCCTCACCAACATTTCACTAATTTCAGTGAAATGCCTCTGGCGGAGGAACTTCTCTGAGATCATGTCTTTGTAAGTTTATTTATCTTATTCATTCTAGTTTTTCATCTGTATTTTTCGTTTTTGACAGATCCCCGAACCATGCGTGCAATGCACAATTGGCAAGAACTCAAAGGAGGCGAAATGTGTCTTTTTAGGTTGGGGTTTGCCCTGTCTGCCTTGCGAAAAGTCGCATTTCCCTGCCTGTGAGTACAACCTCGACCCTATTCCTCAGGGTCAGGTTCGCAACCAGTTGGGTCACCGCGCTACCCGTCTGTCACCCGATAGTAAGCTTTTCAGTTGTTTTATCCATTTTATCTTATTAAAATCCGTCTTTTATCTTAGAAATTGCCAATCTCATTGGAAACGCGGTCCGTGACCAGCAGATCCTTCACTCGCTCAAGGCCGTTGTCGACACCCTCCGATATTGTCGAGACGCCCAAATGTGTCAGGCTGCCAACGCAGTCTTCGATCTTGCCGCAATGGAGGGGGAGGAGGGGTTGATTGGCACGGTCTTCCGTAATGTGGAAGAACACGACCATTACCTCCCTTACTTCATCTCACTTGTTGGCAAGCTTTCTGAGGACGACGCTCCCCTGGTTGAGGAGGATACATTGGCCACCCTTGCCACCTATATGCGACATGCGTGCCCTCGACTTCCACGACCTGGCTTTCCTACCCAGACATTTCACATGAATGAAGACGATGGTCTGGAAGAACAGGGAGATGATGGCGAGGAGGATGACCAGCTGTACGATGACGAGGGCCCTGTGCAAGAGGGCTACCCTGGTAGTCCTTAAGCGCGTCTTCGCTTTTTCATAGATTTTATCAGAGTTTTTGTTATTTCTAATATCTTGCAGTGTCTTGGTAGTTTTATCTTGTGTATTTAGATAAAACTTAATCATCTTGTTCACTTTATGTGATTTAATAGCTAGTTTGTCAACTTTTTGACTTAGGACAGGTTGAAATCAATTTGCAAAATGTTATATCTTGATCTCAGAAGGTATATTTTGTAGTTTTAACATACCCTGACCCTCCCCCTTACTTTAAAAAATAACTGTCCTCAGTTGTGTTTCGAAGTGTATGGAGTTCGTCATCAGCAACGGCTAATTCTATTTATAAATCACAGAAGTCCGGTTCCCTTCACTCAAGACCTTTGATGAATAGGGGTTCCATTCCTCATCATTTCATTATACACGTCAACAGGGGCCTGAGAAGGTGGAAAAGCTATAAAAGATGGAAAGCAAGTCGTAGAAAATTCAGAACAATTTTCCAACCCACTTTGTCTACTCAAGCATCTTCACAATGTCTACTCCCGCTCCTCTCGCTGCTACCCTCGTCATTCCCAACAAGATCAATGAGGTGTTCAAAAGCTATGTCGATGCGAAAGGCAAATTTGCCCAAGCAGTGACGCTCAGCATGCTCGGTGCTACTGCTGGCTTTTGTGTGTGTTGTTGATATTATTTTTCTGCAGAATATGCGCTGACTATATTTTTCCGTTGTGGACAGCACCAGCTCGTCACTAGTGGCGATCCGGCTATGTTTACTGATCACAACCTCTTGGAGCCTGTGTTCATCGTCCGTCAGGAGTATAACACTCTCAATGACTTAAACAAAGCAGTCACTAATCCGGTTGGTTTTAACATCGTCCGGGACTTCTGCAAGAAGGTCCAGCTCATCTGTGATGCTACCAATGCTCAGAAGCATGGTGCAGCAGATGTCGCTGCCGTGCTACTTGATGTCAAGCCCAAGGTTTGTCTAATTTCCTTTTATCTCCATCTTTTAATAATTGAGCACTTTTCTGCCCAGCCCCGCCCTTGCAAGGCTGTCAAATCCAAGGCTACCGTCGATGACAAGGACGACGACGACGATATCGAAATCGTTGGCAACGTCGATGTCACTATGGGTGTGTCTGACGGACCCATTACTGCCGCCTCTGGTTCTGATGCAGTGCGTATTTCATTATTATTAGGTCTTATCAATTCATTTACTTGTTCATTTGCTCAGATGACCATCGACAATCTCTTCAATGGAGATGTTGAAGCAAAGGTATCTACCAAAGACAAAGGCAAGAAACGCGCTACGCCCAAGGTAAGAAATATCACTGCTTTTTATTCTTAATAATCACTGACACACATAAATATCTTTATTTCCAGGCAGCGTTCAAGCGCGCAGAGATGGTGTGTATTCCTTACGCCGCAGTCCCTGGCATGGACACTGAAAACCGGATTTATTCAAAGGCTGTCGCGATTGAAAGCGGACAGGTCGCATCGTCCAGCAACAAACATGCAAGGACTGAGCTTCCCCACACTAATGGTCTTGTTGACCTTCAGCATCGTCGAGGTACACTTATTTCCTGCTCTACTGAATAAAAGTCCGATTTTAACTCTGTTCTTTCGTTTTCAGGCCATTCCCTCTCGCTTGATAGTTCCATCAAGGACTTCATCATTGCATGCACCAAAGCCATTCTTGACAGCCCCATGCCTGGCAAGCCTACGTTGGAATACTACCACAGCGCTGAGATGGACTTGCGCAACCATGTTATCACTAGCATCCAGCGCTTGGACTTAGAGCTCAAGCTCTATGAGGTCCTTCATGCTGAGTACGAGACCATCGCTGACTTACTCAAGGATTATGAGGAAATTGAGGTGTTCCTTGCTTAATTAGTCAGACACACAGACTTTTTAGGGCACCTAGAGTCCTTATGTGATACATAGCACATTTTAAAAATCTAGATGATCTTTTGCACGCGTGCGCCTTTACTCAAAGTGTTTAGATCTCAATCTAAGGTTGCCCAGTCACATGTCTCAGGGACTTAGCACTTTCTTTTCATTTCTGTAGATAAGACTCGGTTTTTAAAAGATCCTAATTATTTATCATCATCTTCTGAGCCATTTCCGTTAGTGTCATCATGAATGTTTTGGTCAAGATTAACTCCCTCAAAATAGTAGTCATTAGAATCGACATGATCTTCAAGTCCTTCTTCGTCTAATTTGTCTAAGCTTTCCTTGTTGAGGTCTATGATTTCATAATTATCGTTGGGAAGCATTATCTTAGTCCTTGCAAAGTAAGGAATAATTCTAAAGGCCCCAACTTTATTTTGAAACACAGCTCCATCCATTTCCGCCACAATGTACGAACCTCCCTTGGAACGCCTGATTATAATCATCGGGCCTAAATATCGTGGTTTCATCTTTCTATTCAAGGATGACTCAACACTCGTGTTTCGGACAAGAACCAAGTCCCCTGGTTTGTAGATTCTACCAATGATTTTATTCCTATGTTCAATTTCGTACTTTGCTACTCTTTTCATTTTCTCTAACGTCACTTTTCTTCACATATCTGTGACGTGAACCCTGTGTTTGGCCAACGCTCTTGCTCTATAGCCAATAAGCTCTTCTGTAGTTAAAACATGATCTGGTAATTTAACTAACCATGTAGCTTCTTGCACGTCGAGCGGAATCAGCAGATGCGCACCAGTAACCATGAAAAACGGCGAGCAACCAAAACACGTTCTAACCATGATTCTATCTGCCCATAGTACCTGCCAAAAAAACCAATACCATTTAGCAAGGTTCTGTGGTCCACAGCATTTGGCTATCCCAATGTGGTCTCTCAATTCTTCCATTTGCCTTAGAATTGTATGTGGAAATTTGTATTCCTTTTATTCCGTACTTTTCTTGAAGCCATCTTACAGCTGCAAGAAATACAGCACCATTATCTGTAATAATTTCAGATAGGCAGCCCCATCTGCAAATTACTTCTTCAAATAGCCAGAGTGCTATAGTCCGAGCTGTTTCTTTCTTCAAAGGTCTTCCTTCCATATAACTGGATAGAGCGCATCTTCCATGTACAATGTATTTACATCCATTAGATGCAGGTGTCACATGAACAGTATCAGCATGAAGAACTTGAAAAATAGAGGGTGTATGAGTAACTGTTGGAGGAATTTCTATAATTCTTTTGGACCTTTCTTGGCAGCGATGGCATGTTTTCACATACCACGTAATATTGCATTCAATGTCTGGCCACCAGAATCTTTCTCCTAACATCATTCTTGTAGCATATGCACCTCTATGTCCAAGACTATCATGAGCTGCACGCATCATGTACATTCTATGTGATTTGTCTACTACCAGTTTGTGTCTGGAGTCTATGCTTCTTCTGTATAATCTGTCTTCTTTGTCAACAAAGAACCCTTTCGCAAATCTTGTAAATGAAATATACTGTTTGTCTGTAATGTTTTCAGGTCGAACATTTGGATTTTTCAACCAAATTCGTACTAATGGCAGATAATCATCATGAGCTTTTCCTAGGAAAGAGTGTCCTTCCTCAGGATATGGGTCCTCTGTTTCCATTTCATCAAACCTGGCTCTTAAATCTGGGATTAAAGTGAATACTACGAAGGTTCTTAAGAAATCCTTCTGTTCTTCACTACAAGTCAGGTTATCATCATCATTTTCAATCTTTTGCTTGATGCTTTCTGCAAACTGCTCACTCATTGCTTCTTCTCTATCAAGTTCATCATAAAAGTCATCAATTGACAATGCTAATGATAGAACATAACCTCCACGAGTATCTATTTGGTCCTTAAAGTCTC